TCAAACCCCGGTCCGGGGGCCTTTCTGGGTGGAGTTTGCATGTTCTCTCCGTGCATGCGTGGGTTTTCTCCGGGTACTCTGGTTTCCTCCCACAGACCAAAAACATGCATGTTAGGCTGATTGGTAACTCTAAATCGGCCCTAGGTGTGAGTGAGAGAGTGAATGGTTGTTTGTCTCTATGTGTCCCTGTGATGGATTTGCGACACGTCCAGGGTGTACCCCGCCCCTCGCACAGTGATTGCTGGACATGGGCACCGGCGACCCCCGTGACCCAAAATGGAAGAAGTGGGTAAAGATAATGGATGGATGGATGAATCACTCATTCATCTGAAGTTGCAGAACTTTCTCATACTGAGCCGTTTGATAAACTCCTCATGAACCCAGACCACACAAGAGGCATGAGCTCATTCCACAACGTGCTACTAATACCTTGTTGCTCCAACCAGGGTGAACACTCTGCGTGTGTCTTGGATGCACACAAACACAACTGCAGACATGCAAATGAGCCTCTTATTCAAATAGCAGCACATTTGGTTTTGGGGAAAAAGCTAAAGCAGAGTGGGCCGTGTGGTTTATTTGTAAGCGTGCAGCTAAATATTGTGTGACCTTTGAGCTGAAATGCTTTGCATGCTATTTGCATTCCTTTAACATTTGAGGCTCGGGCAGGAAAGAGCTTGATGTCTGCTGTTGACAGTGACTTTTGTTCTGTAACACCTCCACTGACATGCTGCTGTCTCTCTAAACACACAATGCCCATATTCAACAACCTTTAACACCAGCCAGCATATCAGCACAAACCTTTCAAACTTACTACAAAGTACAATGGTGGACTACCATAATTTCTGGACTATTGAGCTCACCTGAATATAAACCACGCCCACTAAATTTATAAATGAAAAAAACTTGTACAGGTCACACTTGTCTATAAGTCGCGGGTGTCCACGTTGTAATATGAGATATTTACTCAGAAAGAGTATTTAAACTTTTAATTAAAAACCGTAGCGTGGCAGTACACAGCTACTGAGAGAGACGTGCAGATCTTGTTGTAGATCAAGAATCAACCACTAGATGGCGTTTTATAGACTTTATTGAACTTTATTGTTGAACCCTACAGGACTTCATGACATCTACCTCCCTCACTCATAGGCATCACAACCATTATATTTGAAGGGGCCTGTCCCCCCCCCCCCCCCCACACACACACACACACACATTAACAAAACGTTCATTTGTACCCCTCCACTTTTACTATGAAACATTAGTTCAGTCGGTGCAGTTTCTCTTTCTTCATGAACAAATCCATTCCACTTGATCAATAGGAGAATACTCAAACCACTAAAAATCCACTCCAGGTTTTTCTGGTTACTTCCAACTCTCCAGCAGCATGCAGTGTTTCTGTGCGTCTCCTCCTGCCTAGACAGAAAACGCACACAGGTGGAGGAGATGGAGACACCTCTGTGTTGATCGCT